CCCCCCCCCCCCCACAGGCGTACAACTGGCAGCACATCCAGACCCCCTCCGGACCCGAACTGCTGGATCTCATCTTCCAAACCCTGACCTCTGTGAGTGCCCCAGGGACCCCCACCCACCCCCAACCTCTGGGAGCGACCGCAGAGAGCTTGAACCCCCCCCCAATAAGCAGGTCCTGGAGGAGTGCCCCCACCCCCACCTGGCTGAGGAGGTGGAGACCCCCCTGCTGCTCCCGGAGGCGCTGCAGCTGCTGGATGGGACCCTCCTGCCCGACCAGCACCGCACCTGGAAGAGTTTGGGAATGGCCTGGAACAGGAGCCGGTGGGGCGGCCCTAAACCTTCCAATGGGGCACCCAGTGCAGATAACCCCACCCTACCCCACCCCCAACCTCAACCCTCATCCTAACCCAAGCCTAACCCTAATCTAACCCAATCCTAACCGTAACCTCAACCAAACTCAACTCCAACCCCACCTCAATCCCAACGCAACCCAACTGAATCACAACCCCAACCAAACCCCAACCCCAACCAAACCCCAACCCAACGCAACTCAACCCAATCCCAACCCCATAATCACTCCAACCCCAACCCAACCCCAATCCCAACCCAATTCAACCCCAGCTCAACTCCAACACAACCCAACCTCAACCCAATCCAACCCCAACTTCAACCCCAACGCAACCCAACTCAACCCAACCCAATCCCAATCCAACCCAATCCCAACCCCAATCCCAACCAAATTCAACCCCAGCTCAACCCCAACGCAACCCAACCTCAACCCAATCCAACCCCAAACCAACCCCAACTTCAACCCCAACTCAACCCAACTGAACCACAACCCCAACCCCAAATCAACCCCAACCTGAACCCAACTCAACCCAACCTCAATCCCAACCCCAAAATCACTCCAACCCCACCTCAACCTCAACCCAACCCCAACTCAATCCCAACCCAACCCCAACTCAATCCCAACCCCAAACCAATCCCAACTTCAACCCCAAAACAACCCAACTGAACCGCAACCCAACACAACCTCAACTCAACCCAACCAATCCCAATCCAACCCAACCCCAATCCCAATCCCAATCTCAACTCAGCTCCAATCCAACCCAACCCAACACCAGTCCAACCCAATCCCAACCTCAACTCAACCCAACCAACCCCAACCCAATGCCAATCCACCCCAACCCCCACTCCACCCCCACCC